CGCCACACGCCAGGCCGGCCCGGCACAGGTCCCGCCTCTGTGCCCAGGCACCGCCTTAGAAAGTGATGGGAACTGTGAAGGCCAAGCTCGCTGGGTCACGGGACAGGACCCAGAAACCCACGGCAGTGCCCAGGAGTCAGGAGCTGCCCCTCTGCCCACACAAATAGGAGCCTTTTCAATTCTTAAAGCCCTACAAAATGATCAGTCTTAAAGGATGAGGTGTAGACTGGCGGGGGGGTCACCTCCCCCCCCCCCGTTTATTTAAATGTAATAAACCCAGAGGACAAAATAACCAGGCTCCATAGTGACTGGAGAAGAACAGGGATAGAACAGTCTATTTAAAAACCCACCTGCCGATGACGATGTAAGACAAACCCTAGTTTCATGGAGTCAGATTCCTATAAAAGGCCGGTTTTTGGGGGTCTTCTCGGTTTTTAGTGACAGCACGAAGGCGTCAGAACCCGCGGCCGGACCACGTACCAGGTAATTCTCGTCCTGGAAGGCGTAGTGCAGGGTGGTGATCCACTGGCAGTCCCCGTTCACCAGCACGTCGCGCTCCTCCCGGAAACACGCCGTCTGCAAGGCATCAGGGGCGTCAGTGTCCATCTGCAACCCCCCCAGGGCGTCCTGGACAAGGGTCCTGCTGCCACAGGCTCTGGACACGCGTCACCTGTCCTCCAGCTGAGGCAGCCGGCCTCCCGCTCACCTGGAACCAGGCGCATTGTCTCCCCAGGCGGCTGCGCCCCCTCCGCAGCCCACCTGTGCCTCCTGCTCCTGCACCCACCCCTTCCACACCTGCTGTCTCTCTGCCCACACTAGAGACTCACTGTGGGGGTGTGGTCGGCAACAGTGTCCCCGCTGGGCCCCTCCCATCCAGTATCACCTGCCTTCTCTCTACGGGGTCAGCCTCCTGGGGGTGGCCAGGAGTGCAGACACCCCTCGTGTCTGCCCCGTCACGACGCACAGTCTAGCAGCCACGTGACTGGCAGGATGAGCACACACATGCTTCCTCGTCTGGGTGGGTTATTTTTAAGGAACGTGGCCTATTGGCAGGATACAGATGCACACATCCTAACAGAATTCTACCATGAGGACCATGGCCTGGAGCATGTGGGTAGAAGACTATTTTTTTTAGACTATATAGTTTTGGGGTTTTTGTTGTTGTTGTTGTTGTTTTTTAGAAACATCGATGAGAGAGAAGCATCGATCAGCTGCCTCCTGCACACTCCCTACTGGGGATGTGCCTGCAACCAAGGTATATGCCCTTGACCCGGAATCGAACCTGGGACCCTTTAGTCCCCAGGTCGATGCTCTATCCAGTGAGCCAAACCAGCTAGGGCTTTTAATATATTTTATTGATTTTTTTACAGAGAGGAAGGGAGAGGGATAGAGTTAGAAACATCGATGAGAGAGAAGCATCGATCAGCTGCCTCCTGCACACCTTCTACTGGATGTACCCGCAACCAAGGTACATGCCCTTGACTGGAATCGAACCTGGGACCCTTCAGTCTGCAGGCCTATCCACTGAGCCAAACCGGTTAGAGCTAGTTTTGGGGGTTTTAAGAGCTTTAACACACAGGTTGCATCTGTATTTAGAAATAGCCACAGGCAACGATGTGGAGAAAAGGAAACCCTCACTCACTGTTGTCGGGATTGCAAACTGGTGCAGCCACTATGGAAAACAGAATAGAGATTCCTCAAAAAATGAAAAATAGAGCTGCCATATGACTCAGCAATTCCACTTCTCAGTATTTATCCAAAAAGAACCGAATACACTCATTCAAAACAATATATGCACCCCTATGTTCACCACAGCATTACTTACAACTAGAGGCCTAGCGCACGAAATGTGTGCATGGGTAGGGTCCCTAGGGCTGGCCGACAATCAGAGTCAATTGGGGCCTTCCTTCGTTCCATGCCGCCCCCTGGTGGTCAGCACACATCAGAGCAAGCGGTCGAACTCCCAAGGGGACAATTTGCATATCAGCCTTTTATTATATAGGAGGATGGTGAAAATATGGAAACAACCCAAGTGCCCATCAACAGACGAGTGGATAAAGCTGTCAGGCACGTGCAATGGACTATTACTCAGCCTTAGAGAAGAATGGAACCTTGCCATTTGCAACAGCACAGATGGACCTAGTGCAGTGATGGCGAGCCTATGACACGCGTGTCAAAGGTGACACGCGAACTCATTTTTTTGGTTGATTTTTCTTTGTTAAATGGCATTTAAATACCGTATTTGCCGGCGTATAAGACGATTTTTTGGCCCTGAAAAATATGCCTCCAAGTGGGGGGTCGTCTTATACGCCAGGTACACTTCAGATACACTGCCCATAGTGCTTGCCCCGTGCCATAGTGGCCTCCCGATGCCCGCCCACTTCATTCCACATACCGTTCAGGCATCAGCAGCGCTGCTGGGTGTATGCTCGGCTGTTATGCGATTTTGCTGTTATGCGATTTTACCACACTCGCAAAATCGCACACAGCCGACCATAACCCCAGCAT